ACGAGCTCGTTCGAGTCTGCCTTTCACATTCAGCATGTTGTTGATCACCATATTTATTGGCCATTAAGCCTTTAATTTTGTCACCAAGTACTATCAAGTTCGGCAATGGTAACTTTGCTCTCCCTTTCATTCGGCGCGTCGCCGTTAATTCTTGAGTTCATCAACCAACCTCAGTTGATTCAACTGTTGTGCACTCTCAGCTTGGTCAAGCTAGTAACTATTAGGTGATTTGCCCTTAATGTTCGCCAATGTGGAGTTTACACTTCTTTTTATGTTTTTGGTCATTATTTCAAAGATTTATCTTTGTCTTGTCATTTATAGCTTTCATAGCTACAAATCATCAAAATATCATTAGAATAAGACATAATTTGGCATTAAGAACGCTAATTGTTGAACTAAATAAGGCTCAAATGAGTGCAAATCTACTACTCATCATTATCGCAACTTGAATGCTAAAACTAAAACATATAATTACCCAATACCAAGTAAGATACTAAAAATAAGACAAATACAAGGATATAACTATTTTAGTAAATTCGATTGTAAATCAAGATTTTATCACTTAAAACTAGAAGAAGAATCTAAATAACTAACAGCATTTACTGTACCACAAGGATTTTATGAATGGAATGTTCTACCATTTGCATATAAAAATGCACCAGGTAGATACCAACATTTTATGGACAATTATTTTAATCAATTAGAAAATTGCATTGTCTATATAGATGATATATTATTATATTCAAAAACACAAGATGAACATATCAGGTTATTAGACAAATTTATACACATAATTAAACATTCTGGCATAAGCCTAAGTAAAAAGAAAGCAGAAATTAAAACTCTTTTGAAAGCAAAAGAAGAATGTACTAACCTTCACAACCAGAAGACACTTTTGGGATATTTTCCAGCAAAAACATTGATGATTTGCAGAGAATAGGATCGGGGGATGAAAAGTATTCGCATAAATCAATATTTTAGAGAGACAACTTGATTTTGATGAGAAATCTAAAAGAGGAAATGAATATATTTGGACGTAAAATGAAATATTACTTTCTTTTACTGACCATTTCTTGTAATTCTTGATGAAAATAACTTATTCCATGCAATTATTCATTTGTCGATACTAATAAGATTACGGGAATGGAGAAGTGACAATAGAATAATTGTCACTAAATAATTGTCGCTAAAAACATATTTTACTGATGCAAACAAGAGCTTCACTAAATAAGAGCACTAGTAGATTTTGCATCTCAAATGGACCCCTAACGCGTAACTGAAGCATTTATTTATCAAACCTAGAATCAAACACCGAAAGATGAGCTTGATATGTTTTAAAAAAATAGGGCTTGATTACTTACTAAAAATTAATGAATTGCACAGTCATTGGAACAAAATAGGTTTTCTGAAATAAGTTGAATGAAGAACCAGAGTGAGACTTGTCCCTCAAGAATACTTACAATAAGAAGATATTGATTATGATGAAATGATTGCCCCCATAGCCAAGTTAGAATCAATTCGCTTATCATTAGCATATGCATCCTTCAAACATTTTGGATTTAAATTATGTCAAAAGATCATTTTTAAATCACTTTATAAAAGTAGTTTTGTCAAATAACCTCGTGATTTTGAATATCCCTCTTGCTCCGACAATGTGTTCAAATTGTCTAAAGTGCTCTAATTTCTTAAACAAACTCCAAAGGCTTGGTAGGAAAAACTCGATACTTTTCGCTTAGACAATAATTTCTTAGAGATGAAATAGATACAACTCTTTTTATCAAATTGCTCAAATATATGTGGATGATATTATTTTTGAAAGTTTGACAATTTGAGATAAATCTTATGGGGAACTTATTCTTTCTCGTCCTACAAATCAAGCAGTGGACTAAGGACCATTTTACTAGCAAAAGCAAATATACAAAGCAGCTTATAAAAACATTTGGAATGGACAAAGGTAAGGCTTTTGGGAACCCATGAGTTCATCTACTTTTCTTGAATGATGCATGTCGAAAATGGTAACTTAAATTTGTTAATTCTGAAAATTAATCAGCCGATATTATTACAAAATCTATGTTAGAGTAATATTTTTGTTACCTTCGTGAAAGGTTGAGATTATTGTGGGTCCAAGATTTAAATATATTTTACTTAAATGTTTTATGTACTTTTTTCTTTCTAGGATGTTTTAGATTTATTTAATATTTTATTTACCTTTACTCCTTTAATTACATCCTTTTTGTACTTGTCTGTTGTACTGACTTTCCTTCATTACTCTCATCCGCCTTTTCATTTTCCGAGACGACTCTTAACTTCTCCAGTATTTTCAATTCATCATCACCCCATTTTGTCTAAACCTTTCATCTCCCTTAGGAAACCCTATTTGTATCTTTAACCATTCTTTTTCTTCTCATCCATCTCAAATATGATGACTCGAACTAGATCCATTACTTCTCCCACAGTTATCCCTTACTGCCTTTCAGAAGACTCTTTTGAACATAATGTTCTTTTGAGGACTCATGCAAAGAGGAATTTGATGATACTTTTTCTTCATCCAAGAATAGACTTGTTATAGAAAGAAAAAAAACAGCGCCTAGATCCCTCGAACACCCTCTTGTCTAAAGACATGCACTAATTCTGGGGTATTGACTAGAGAAACAAGTTTCAAGCATTAAATGTCATCAACTTAGAACAGTTGTTGTTTCTCAAAGTTCAAAAACTACCTCTTCTTCTTTGTTTTCTATGGCCTTGAATTGCACTAGGAATGAACTTGTTTGTCTCTTCCATGCATACCTTCGCTTATCTAAGAATAGTGATGAGTAGGGAACTCTTGTTCTATAGTAGCGCATTATTATGAATAATTTTCCGTTTAAAGATGAGTTTGGTAACCATGTGCCAAATATGAATGACGTTTGACCTTACAATTTTGAAGTTTCTTTGAAAGTGGCCAAAGTGTTCATTATTGAACCTGGTTTGGACCTATCTAATGTTCGTCTTCTTTCTTCGTGTTTTGAAAATCGTTGCTCATATGATTGTTACTACTCTAGTTCCTAAGGAAGGGATCACTCAGTAATATCTCATCTACATGTGTTTTTGTTATGTGTTGCCTTTTCAATATGTCTATTATTAATTGAGCTTCCATGAAAACGATTTTCCCCACACGAAGTTTGATACGAGAATATAGAGAGGAAAGCTCTCAAGATAAGAATGCATCCGCTAGACTGCTCTACGGCCTATAAATATACTCTGGTTGATTTCTTTGAATACAAGCATGCAAAGATCTCTTCAACTTACGATAGTAGGACCTTCTCTAGCATGTGCTACACTCTTGTAGGAAATCAATGGTACAAAAAGCACTCTGTCTAAGCAAGAGTAGAGACGATCAGAGTAACCAAAGTATCACTTGACGATGCTTCTCCACTGCTAAAGGACATGAAAGATGTCAAGGCTCGCCTACTCACAATTGAAGATGGTCTAAAAGTATTGCAAGAATTTGCAGGGAAACTTCTTCATCTACACAAGGACACCAACATAGACGTTGGAAAGCATCACCTTGTTGTGGATGGTCTAAAGCAAGGAGTCTCTACTATTAACAAGTTGATCTGCCAAGTCGACTCTCTCAAAGCAACTTTTTTAATACCAATCTCACTATCTTTGTCCAATCTTCGTACTCAAATTTATCTAGAAATGTGGAACGTTCCCATAATAGTTGTTGTAAAATGTTTTCAACACATTAAAATATTTCTTGGGTGATCATTGAATAATATTATTTTACGTTGTTCCACCGATCTTAACACTACTCTGTTAAACTGGGGGAGTTTGCCCCCATTGTACTCATTTGCGTTGTGAATAAAGAGTTGTTGGTTACCTCTCTAAACTCCTTTATCTGTGCTCTGCTATCCAATAGTTAACTACGTCTACATACTTATATGTCTCTCTAATGTGTTTTTTTTTTCTTTTTTATTATGTGAAAAGGTGAGATGACTGGACAAATAGTCCAAGCAACTAGCAAGGGGGAGAAATCACAAAATGTTTCTTGTGCACTCGGTAAGTGGGAGAAAGTATTATTTGGCAAATTATTTGTCATGATCAAAAAGGGAAGATTAATAGGTTCAAGTTAATTAAAGTAAAGTTTAAATAATGGCAAAATCACTTTGAAGATAAACAAAGGGGTAGGTTGATCAAGCACAAGAATTGAATCAATAAACGAGTGAGTTAATCTGCTATGCACAAATCAGGACAAAGATTAGATCATCTACAAGGGAAGAAAATTCATCTACAAGGGAAGAAAATCATGATCTTAAAGTTTGAGTGCCCATAAAGAGAGAATATCAAAGACAAACAAAGGAAAGGATTGAAGACCTCTAATCAAGGGCCAGACCAAGGAAATGAAGACTGCGGAATGAAAGGAGCAAGATAGAAGATCGACCCCAAGTTTGGAAAGAAATATGGACGTGTACTATCATTCATACTCAATCAACGAAAGAAACTCCTTTGAGTTTTCCTTTCGGAGCATGAAGTACCTCACTACAAAGATCTATAAGAAGTTTGTTCCTTTCGAAAATATAAACTACGCACTTCACTTGAACTTGTACATCTTCTTTCTTTCATGTTTCATCTTTCATACTACTCTATAACCTTTCATAGACTGCAATTATAAAAGAAGAGAGTTGTGTTGGTTATACAGGTAAAGATATATCTTACTCAAGTTAGATATAGTAGATATCAAAATCATCTGTACTCGTAAATCCAACAAAAGGCTCTAAAGAAAACCCTAGTAACCCAAAGGAAATGATTTAGGTATCACATCTCTGATCCGAACCAGCATAAAAACTTCTCTCAATTTATGTTCACACTCAAAATCTTCCCTCTCCCCCTTTTAATTTTTGCTTGGGAGTTGCTCCAATTGAAAAAAGACAACACATCATTTTATAAAAAGCAAAAAATGTTCAATTGACACTTAAAAGAGAGCAAGGATCCAACAAGAATAAACTATGTTCACCAGCTAGAGTAAAATAATTATATTTTCTGTTCATTTAACAAAAGGTGTAACCATAACATACTATTGCCATCAGAACAATTCCACAAACTCAGAAACATTTGTGATGTCTGCACCTACAAAACCTATAATGGTTTTGCCACCTAACATGTGAAAAGAATATTATCATAATTTACATTGCATGTATTGGGTAATACTCAGATAAAAATTTAATATTCTAGTTTTTTTTTTCTTTTTGGGGAAAATACTGCTGAAGCTAATGCAAGGTTTCTCATAAAATGTAACGTTAACTCTGTAGATTTACTGACCTCCCTAGTAATTGCATCTAACAGGTTTAATACCTATGGCCTGTTGCAACAAAATTCCAACACTAAACATAGAGACAAGTCCAGCTAGACCAGCTCCACCTTCACCTCAGCTCACTCATAGAGACGGATGATGTTGAATATGCTTCTCGTAATAGCTTATCAGCTGCAAAAGAAAGCAAAATGTAGTTCAATTCACCATATAAAGTAAAACAAACAAAATAAATTACATTAACCTATTCAGTGTTGTTACAACCAAATTAACTTTTCTGATATACTTCACAAACCAGTAGATTATTATTTTTGTCAATAACACATAAAATGACTACCATCAAACCTTAAATGACATAGAGCCAACATATTATTCTGAATTATTTAAGATACATAAAGAAATTTTGAGTGAAAGAGATGATTTCCAAAAAGTTGATAGTAATGATAAAATTACATATTAAAGCCACAAATTATTATCTAAAGTGCATTTTTTAAACAACACAAATTCACGCAGAGAGGTCCTTGGAGATGATATATTAAGAGGAGTAGATGTAGCTTTGGAAAACCAGAAAAGGTCCCTATAAATAATCCATATTAGAAATATAAGATCATGTATTACGATGATGAAAGAATCAATAGGAGAAAAAGATAAACAGCTACCAAAAGTGGATTATTCGTCTTCATAAACTTGTTATCCACAACATCTTCTGTTCCATCTGACCTGTATGAAGTCATGCCAAAATGTCATCACATAGCCTAGAAACTTAAAATATATTCACCAAAATAATAGCAAGCTGACAACATATAATTAGATCATACAGCGACAAGGGTGTAGCTGCCTATCAAAGAAACTGGGCACTATTTCAAGTATTCAACTGGATAAAAGCTGATGAGAATAGTAAAACCATGATTGAAAAAGAAAGATTTCTCCAGAATGGACGAGACGGGGAAGTTATCGATCTGATTACACCAACACGCATTGCCCATCCAAGAATGTGCTTACATGCATAAGTATTTCTGCTACAGAACAGACACAATTATCACAAAATTCACATGCAGTTCCATATTTGGGATAATCTAAGACCCAATTTCATTATGAGCAAACTATATACTAAAGGGAAAAAGCAAAACCAAAAATCTTGAGGGCAATTAGCTCATGCTGATCACAAGAGGGAACAAGTAACCAAAAGCAAGCTTAAAGGAAAAGAGAATGCAAGGCAAACGAGAGCTTGAACCTTATACATTATATTAGAAATGAAAAAATAGTTCTGGGAAGAAAGGCTTTTAATTTCAGCAAAACCAAGGCCAAAAAGAAAAATATGCTCCTCTCAATCAGTAAGTTAAAATATTATTGATAAAATAACCCAAGCACTATGCTAGTGCAGGAAGTTACAGAATGAGAGGCCTCCTTATACTAGAACTTTGTTGGATGTGTGACTCAGTATAGGTTTTGTAGCAACAGTTCGCACTAAAATGACCCTTGCTATGTTGCTTCCATTGTAAGAGCCCATCTGGATTGGCTTTTGGCTTTTTTTTTAAATATTTTAGCTTACAAGAAGTGTTTATAAGCATTTTATTTTTTTTAATTTTACTCAAACACTATAAAACTGATTAAAACCTATTTTGGCTTAAAAGCGCCTAAAATAAGTCTATCAAACAAGCTCTAAGATATCATATCTGCAATTGAGGCTTTGTCAAAGTTCCTAAAGATTGAGAAAAGCTGTCATGTTTCTAGCTTCTCAATCATTGAGATTCCTTCTGAAAGTGAAGTTCCAAGTGTAATGAAGTGTATTAATGTTTATAGTTAGATATTGTGGCATCTCTTTCAACATTTCCTGACCAGAGACCTCGAAAAACTAAAGTGTTTCCTAGGTATTGAGGTTGCTCAATCTAGATTAAGTATTGTTATTCCGGAATGCAAGTATGCTTTAGACATTCTTGAGGAGACAAATATGATATTATGTAAACTCATTGACACTCCTATGGATCCGATAATTAAATCCTGTACGGACAGAGGGAGCAAAAATAATCCATAAAGGTATCGACAACTAGTTGGAAAGTTGGAATTATCTTATAGTGACTAGACTTGTCATCTCCTTTTCTAGTGAGCGTTATAAGTCAGTTCATGACTTTCTCCTTTGATAATCATTGGAGTGGTATTTGAAAGTTTCAATGCCGTAATTCGGTTCATGACATTCTCCTTTGATAACCATACAAATTTAATTTAGGATGTCTTGATATTTTGATATTCGATTTCGGTGTTCTGCGGTATGGTAAATCAGTAACCATAATTTGTTTAACTTCGACTAATATATACTCGTATTATAGAGTATTACGATATTCCGAGAATTTTCGGTAATATTTGAAGACAACAGACACCAAACAAGACGATTTCAGACACTGACAGATACATTATAATCAAGAAAAGACAATTATTCCTATAAATAGCATCCATACTTGCAATAGTTACAAAAAAAAATAGCTTAAGTAAGATAAGTGAGTAACAAAATAATTTAATCTGCAGCACATGTCTTTTGTTCGTTTGAAAGAAGTTCACTAATTACCCTCTACCTAAAAGGTGAAGCTAAGATTCTTTGCATATGAGTGACATAAAAACATAATAGAAGCAAAGATAAATATGATTTAAAACAAGAAAGTAGGTTAGAAGCACCGACCTCTTAACTAGAAAGGTCACAGATACATCCTTCAAGCCATTTTCTATATCAGGTGGTGAATAGCTCTCGGCCTTGATAATTTCTGTTATGGCATATGTATCTTTGAACCGATCACACTTATTATTACAACCCAAAACATTTCCCACAAGTCCTTGATCGTGAACTTCTTCCTGCAGTAATGCAACCAAATGGCCACTAGTAGCATTTGCTACAGCATCTTGGAGATCCTTCACTACACCTGAAGTAGCTTGCGGTATAAACCTCCGAACAGAAGCAGACTTCCTCCTTTTAGCTCCTGTGCAGCGACCAGATTGAAGTGATTCTGTTCCATCAGCCATTGAAAATCCATTTGTGAAGGTATTGTTGGATCTATCTGCAGATGCCTCTTTTGCTGCCATCGCTCCCTCGTCCATAGAGGCCTCTTTTGTTGTCATGACTACATTTTCCACAGATGCTTCTTTTGTTGTCACGACTCCCTTTACCACAGAGGCCTCTTTTGTTGCCATCACCCAATCTCCCATAGAGGCCTCTTTTGTTATGATGACTCCCATTTTCACAGAGGCCTCATTGGTTGCCATGACTCCCATTTTCACATAGGCCTCTTTTGTTGCTATCGCCCTATTTTCCACAGAGGAGTCTTTTGCTGTCATGAATCCCTTTACCACAGCGGCCTCTTTTGTTGCCATCACCCTATTTTCCACAGAGGCCTCTTTTGCTGTCATGAATCCCTTTACCACAGAGGCCTCTTTTGTTGCCAGCAGTGCATTTTCCACAGAGGCCTCTTTGGTTGCCAGCGCCCCATTGTCCACCGAAGCCTCTTTTGCACCCTTTTCGACAGAGGCCTCTATTGCACCCTTTTCAACAGAGGCCTCTATTGTTGCCATCAGTCCCTTTAGTTCAGTAAGCTTCAAATTCAATTTGTTTTGCTCTTCAATTTTTTTTAGAGAGGAATCCAACATTAAATCATTGTCATTCGCCACTTTGAAATTATTAAAACCACTAGCATTTCTATCCACGTGATCCAATGTAGGCAGAGGCACAGGTTCCTCAATTATCCTAAGCTTCACTGCATCTGCAGGGGAATGATGTTCTTCTTGCTGTTTTGTTTTGATTTGAGAGTCATTAACCCCATGAGTGCGCTTACGCTTACGCTGCTTCCCTGATTGCAAGCTTGAAAAGGCAAACAAAAGCAATAGAAATAAGAAAAAAGAACAACCCATACTCCAATCCAATGGTATAAATAGTGAAGTGTAAAAGGAACACCTCGCTTCGAATGCATCGATAACATCATAGCACGTCATTAGATTATCGACAGGTTCCCATGTGTTTGCAGTCTCCGGCCAGCCTCGCCTGTAAATCAATCAAACAAACAAAATTCATGGGCTTTCTTTGTGTGTTGAGAAATTAAAGAAAAGCACCAGTTATACATGACTTACCATTTGATCAGATACTGAATTTTGCCCTTTTGTTTGCACAACACAGCACAGCAATTGAAGTCAGGATCAAAAAAAAAAAAGGTAAGGAAGAAAGAAAGAAGATTGATTGAAATGAAACAAACCTTTCGAATCCTCTTTCTTCTTACGGTCTCAATCTCATAAAACCCTTCAGCAAGTTTGGGCTTTTGATCATTAGCAGTCAATTCTTGTTGTTGGATTCCCACATCCCCTTCAGCAGCGCCCTCGCTTTCATTCACATCATCACAAGGTGGTGCTGGTGCTGGTGCTGGTGCCGGTGCCGGTGCCGTTTCGGTATCCGATACCAAATCGGAATTCTTGTTTTTCCCTCCTTTCATACCTCTCTTTTTTCTCTAGTCTAGAGACGGAAGAAGGATAGTAGTAGTAATGTCTTTTTTTTTTGGACAGATACGTTCATACTTTTCTACTAACATAATATGTGTGAATGTCAATCCAATTTACCAACCATAATTGATACAACCCTACTATTATTAAAAATATCATGTATATTTTAGGAATTCCCATTAATTAAAATATACAACTATTTGTTTTTTATTAAGACCTCATTTGAATTGTTGTAAAAAATATAGCTTTTAACTTAAAAATAAAAAGTTTGTAAAACAAAAATGACTTTTAGTTTTTAACTTATTTTTCACTTAGGGTGTGTTTGGTATGGAGTAAAATGTTTTCCTTAATTTTTGAAGGAAGTCATTTTCCTTAATTTTGAGGAAAATGAGTTGATTTGGAAAACATTTTCCAAATTTTTGTCTCAACCAAACATGAGAAAATTGGAAAACATTTTCCAGAAAATGTTTTCCTTCAAACCAAGCACACTCTTAATCAGACATTTTTTCATTTATTTTATGTCATTTTTTTATATTTATCAAATACCTTCAAATATCAAAAATTAATTTTAAAATAGATTTGGCCAACTTTTAAGTAAATTCAAACCCTTTTTTAACTTTTAATTATTTATCCATGCGCCAGCCAAGAAAGAAAAAAAATCAAAGGGACAGGGAATTCTAAAAAGTAAATACTTTAATTTAATAAAAAGCTTGAAAAAAATAGTGTGAACGCTAATTTCTGATGTTCTTTTATTTTATATAATATGTGTGTGAGAGAGAGAGAGAGAACACCTTCACCATTTAACCACAAAACATTAGTTACTCATAATTAGGAGTTGTAAACGAGTGAATCGAGTTGAATATGAGTCGATTAAAAAAGAATCAAATAAAAATAGGTAAATTATCCGACTCGGCTCATATTTTGGACAAATGACAGAAATCACATACTCTAAGGCAAAATTATCTTTTGTCCATTCTAAGTTTATAATTACAGAAATCCCTCAAAGTAATACAATAATATAAGCACTGATATATTAACCGGATGCGCGAGATACATTAATCGATAAGTAATATACATTATATTTTATACATGATACACTAATCTGATTGTAACACCTTGAAAATCCAAGACTCATGGAAAATCCTAACATAGGTGTCATAAAATCTAAACACTTTTTCTAAGTCCATTTTTAATGAATATAGGTCATTTAGAAGGTTTAAGAATCAAAATGTCCGGAAAGTTGATTTAAAGAGATGTTAGTGTGCCTTAACCCTTTTACTAACTTTTAGGAGTCGAATATGTACGAAAATGGGTGGAAAGGTAGCTAATAGGGGTTTGAGTTATTTCATGATGGGAACGTCTGGGTACGACTCTCCAAGGACCAACCAAGGGCCCTCGAGGAGAACCCTTGCAGTTTGATGCAGCACTACCTGGCAGTGTGCATCGACGGGGCAGACGACGGTCCGTAAGTGGCTAGACGGGGCGTCGAATTCCACCTTCGTCCCACACTTAGAAAGATTTATATAGTCCTTTTTTTGCCTAGCTATTGTTACACTCGACAGAAAGGGATGACGCAGCGTCGACGACACCGTTATCCCATACTTAGAAAAATATTGGAGGAACCGTAGCCTGCAAAGTCTCTGATAGAGACAACGAAAGTGCAGGAAGGAGGGGGGGTGTCCGTCAATCCACCGACGGACCGTCGACGGGGTCTCGTCGGTGAGGGTTGAATTTCATTGATGGATTTTAATGATTTCATTTAAATTAATTAAATGGTTTAGGGGTTAGTTAGTGATTTAAGGAAAACTAATTAAGTTAATTAAGCCTCTCTATAAAATACCATTAACCCTCATTAACCTAAAACCAACTCTTAAAATAAGCTCTCTTCCTTCTCTCTTATTTCTCTCTCTGCAAGAATCCAACATTGAAGGCTAGAAACAACTAGGGTTTGGGGGCTGAAAAAGGGTGGATTCTTCATCAAATTGTTGAGAAACATTAAGGTATGAGTTCTATTTACCTTTGAGATCCTTTCCTCAAAGGGTTCATTCAAAATGGATTTCAACAAGTTGAGTTTTCTTATGGGTTTCATTCAATTATGAAATTGAAGTTATGGATTGAGTTGTTATTGAATTCTTAGGTTTATATTGAGTAGATTTACATGTAATTCAACTTGTTTATGACAATTGTTGATGGTTTGATCAAATTGAAGAACATGATCTTCTATCCCTAGCATAGGTAGTGATCTTGACTTATGTTGTATGTTGATCATTCAATTGAGTTGGTTGTTGATTAGATTATCATCCTATGGTGCTATTTGGTTGAATTAAGATGAATTATAGGCCTATCATGCTAGTTCTTGAGATGTAATTTAGGTTCTAAATTATAATGTGAAATTAGCCTATGTATCGTGTTTCAAGTTGTGATCTAAAAATGAATTGTGTTATAGAGATGCAGTTGGCCTTGTTATTCTATTGATCATTATTGCGCTATGATGTTACTACCCAAGTTGGGTTGAATTATGGGTTGATGGTAAGACCTTGATGATAGCCTATGAGGAAGACTTGGTAAGTCTTAGAATCTTTATCTTTACTTCCAATTGTGGTTAATTGTTGTTAAGCTATGATATTACGTTGAAGTATGGCTTATATTAAGATTATAGGGTGGTATGATGTTGAATTGAAATGTCTTGACTATGTTGTGAGGTAGATTAGGGTGTATGTGATGTAAGGATGGTGAAAACTATCAATGTGCCTTAATATGTTATGAAATGCTAAAGTGTTAACCTCACTTATATGGATTGTGATGAAAGGACTTACACTCATACAAATCTTATTGAGCTATTGATGATGATGATTACACAAGGGTTAGACCCTATGACCTAAACTAAGTTATGACTACAACAAGACTAAAGGCATTTCAATAAAGGGATCTAGCTTAGCACCGAGTGAGCTTGTATGTGAAGGGGTGACATTTTCTTATATAAGGAAGGTAGGGTTCACTACGGTCCTCACGGGGTGGATAGCCTCATGACCTAAGGTAGGGTGTAGAGTTGATATTTCCATGATTTATTCCCTAAGCTCCATAAACTATGTTGCCACCATATGATACTAGCCAGTGGATTCACCTAGATAGCTACGTTTATGTTCGGTTCTACCTTGGCCGGTAGATCACCTTCCATCGGTGTAAGGTTTTATGACACCGAATTTCACATTAGCTCGTATGATCTATGTCGGTTAAGGCAAGAGTTCCCTAAACTAAAATGAATGAATGAAGTATAGACTAATTAAATTGACTTGAGTGGTTTCACTTTAGCTTAGATAGGGGTATGGTACTCTACCTATTCTTACACTAATTTGCCTTGATAGAAGATTTGAGAAGTTAATATTATGTATATAAATGATTATATAATGTAAATGACTTTATATGATGAATAAGATGCTTATAAATATGAAATTTGTTATCATAGTTAAAGAAAGAATAATATATGAGATGGAATACTATGTTATGTGAAGTAAATTGCTAATTATGATCTTTGGTGGGTTACTTGATTAAGTAGGGTTATGGGGCTTTTCTTGGTCATTTCACTTGTGGCTTCTTAAGGATTATAGTTGATTGGTTTGTTTTGCTATTTACGTGGTTTACTCTTATTCATGTTTGTGATAGTATTACGTGATGATAGAGTTACATGAGATTATGGTTCAAGTATGATGACGTGCGTATGGTATAATTAATTTGTTTAGTATGTTCAAAGGATTGGATTAAATAACATAATTTCATTAAATGTCCCTTTCTAGCATACTTTGTTGGTATTTGTGCATATGGTCTCATACTTAGTACATGTGGCGTACTAACCTCATTTTCTCCCTTTTCCCAACATTTAGGTTTCGGTCATTGAAGTTGATTTGAAGTGATATAAAGGAAGACTTGGACATTCTATCATCCAAATAGTAGGTCCTCATTTTCCCCGAGGACGATGTCAACATTCTCTTTGCGAAGTTACTTAGTTACTACAACTTTTGTATTGACTCTATTTCCTATTTGAGACAAAGTTGTATAAAGCTTATATGCTGCTTACTTTTATTGATGTAGGGTTATGCCTAATGTTATTTTCCTCGGTTAGATGGTTTATGAGATAAGACGGATTTATGACTATTTCTTTACTATACAAGTGTGCGAAATAAAAGTAGAAGACTAGGTAATCTTCTTATATGAACGAGTCTACGTATACTCGATATTATTATGATTATGTGTATGTAGAGGTCTTTGTAAACCTCCGATTAGAAGTAGTTGAAAAGTTTTAAATTCTTCCCTATTTTTAATCGATGAATGCAATGATGTAAGACTAAGAGGATTGTCTTAGTTCTCAAAGAGGACAACGAACGCCGGTTACGTCTAGGGGTAAACCCGGATGTGACACTGAAGTACATTTTATACATGATGCACTAGCTTGATGCGCGAGATACATTAATGTGATGTGTGAGATACATTAATCTAATGCGCGTGATATATTAGTTTGATGCGCTGATACATTAATCTGATGCTTGAAAATATTGAATTTTGAAGATTTGTAAAACTAATAGAAAATAATGGTAATAAGAGCACTTAAAAGTGAAATTTGTGTCATTTTTCCTATTTTGAATGGGTAAAACGAGTTACCCAATGGATAATATGGGTAACCATATTTACCCATATTATAACACATCTTGTACAAACTTTTTTTTAAAAAAATTCACTCCACCCCCTACCAACCCCCACCTCACCCCCATCCCAATAAAATTAACAAAATTTTAAATGTTTTCATTAATTTATTTTTAAAAAAATTACCACCTCACCCCCTTACCAGTCTCCTTCCCTCCACACCCCCATCCAAAAAAAAGTAATTTTTTTCATTGATTTTTTTTAAAAAAATATTTACTACACCACCTCTCTACCGCCCTTACCACCACCACCACCCCCTCTCTAACATCCCATCCCAAAAATAAATTAACCAAATTTTCATTAATATTTTTAATTTTTTTTGAAAAAGAAATTACCATTCAACCCCCTTAGACCCCCCCCCCCCCAACTAACCCC